ATCCTTGTCATCTATTCCGATATTTTTCAGTATTTTGCATTAATTTTACATTATGTACTTTATCGAATGCCTTTTTGAAGTCCAAGAAAAACATGCAAATACATCTTTTCTTTGGTCACGGTATTTTTGTAATAGGATGTTTAACTCAAAAAGTGCCTCCCTGGTTCCATAAGAACCTACAGTCTGACCTCGTCGACCTTCCCCAATTTTTGCATTGAAGTCGCCTATAATATATAAAATTTCGTGTTTATTAAGTTTCTGTAAGATGTCTTGAATCTGATCATACAACTTCTAGACTTCATCGTCATATTTTCTATCTGCAGTCGGGGCATATATTTGAAGTATGTTAGTTTTAAATGGTTGAATATTTATTTGGAGTAATATTATTCTATCCGAGACTGGTACGAAATTGGTCACATATTTACTCAGTTTTGATGTTACTAATATACCTACACCATTTTTGTGATGCGGGTCTTCTGTGCTGTTACCGGAATAATATAATACACTTCCGTCCTTTTTACATGATCCTGACTCTGGCCATCTCATTTCGCTGATTCCCAGTAGGTCTATTTTCATTCTTTTCATTTCTTGAATTGCGTTGTTAAGTTTCCCAGCCGCAAATAGACTTCTACATTCCATGTGCATATTCTAAAATTAGATTTCTTTATTTTTAGGATTTCTTCACGAGGTTTTCGCATGTTTATGATCTGAGAGGCCTCGTGGTATAAATATGTTTCTCCTCTCCGGCCGAATCTTGGCCTTCGCTTTCCATGATTAGTAACGGTTTGAATTGCAGTGTCAATTCTATGGTGATTTTCCTGGGGTGCTCTATGAGCCGTTAATGCAGTGGTTCCCCTTTGCCTTCTGCATTCTTATGCCGTTGACCATTATTTGTTGATTCATCCGCCTTAGGGCCGATTTCTCAACCCCAGGACAAAAGAATGCTCTACAACTCATCCGCCCTAAGCGGTTGGTCAGTAAGTGGTGGATTGCTTATACCGGCAATCACTCGGACGCCAGAGCCTCATTTGTTATCTAGCAGGATGCACCGGATGACCATAATCAAGATCATCGCGCGGGCAGGTGAGGTTGACATTTGGATAGGACAGACTATGCGTTGCACATCAGTATCCCTTGCATCAAAAAATTGTTTCATATGTATTTTAACCCTTTAACAGTTAGTGGCAACAATAGAAGCCACTTACAGCACAGTCCATTAAGCCACGTAAATTCAAGTGATTATGATCTGTAATAGTTGTTTACTTCGTGCGCAACGCTCACTGTCTTCTATAGAAACCACTTGCCCTGCCCCCTCAAAAATAAGATACAACTGGCTTCTATGTGTGCCACTAACTGTTGCGATCTGCTGTCTAATTTCGAAAGCATGTGTAGCCGTTGTACGTTTTATTGTGTTTGTGCTCAAATTATTAATATTACAACTAATTGTAAGTATAATTTTTATTGCATAATAATGTAAAACTCAATTTCTGCAACATTTTATTAAAACAAGATATGCGCTAAGGAAATCCAGTGAGTTTCTTAGACTATTTGTCCTATTTTTGGTTATGTTTTGGTGTTATGAGGACTTGTGATTTTATTTAATTTTTGCTGCAGAAAATGACTTCAAATAGAGACAATATCACTATTGAGGAACTAGAATGTTTTATCTGCTGATCAACTGTATGAGTTTATCGATGGCATTACAGATGATATGGCTGAAATATATGACACTGAATGTTGGGGTGCATTTACCAGTAAAGGGGAAGTATAGGCGATGTGCACGTTGCTCCACCAAAATGTGAAGAGATCAAAAATAGCATGTAGTGAGTGTAATGTTGGTCTGTGTTTGGAATGTATCGCAGAATTTCGCAGAAACTGGGTAGATTTTTATTTTGAACAATTGCTATTTAGAATTTGTAGAAATGTTATGTTTGTGAATTTAGCACATGTGAAAAATAAGCACAAGAAAATAACCTTTAAATAAATATACGAATATCGTGATAAACTTTTTTTGGGGTGTGAAATCTTCTAAGAAATTTTGTTGGATTCAGAGGAAAAACATACGCCCGAGTACAATTCTCCTCTTGGAAGTCGTGCCTTCGGGTGTGTTCATGATGCCCTGTCTACCAACTAAAACCACCTTCAACTACACACGCGCGGCTAGTCTTGTTTAGAACGTTCTAACAAGCATGCACGGCTTCCTTCTATCCTCTTTTTTCCCTTTAGCGTTTATGTCTGCTGTCGTTCCCTTTCTCGGATCTCTTTCCTTTTTATTATTCTAGTTATTCATTTTCTCCTCTTTTCCGCCACTTCCACTATGGTATTCGCCATATTTTTACTTACTTCCCTCTCTTTCATACAGTTCCCGCCCTCTTTTTCGCGAACCTTTTGCAATCGAACGTCTTCCGCCGTGTCGTTAACCCCGCAGTCAATGCAGTTGTCGTCTTCTTGCTTCCCTATTCTTACCAGGTACGCACTGCAATAGCCGTGCCATAAGGAACTGTGTAAAGAAGTAGTTAGTCTCCCTATGGCCGTGTCCTTCTCAGTCTCTCACGTCCGGTACGAGTTTTCTTGTCCATTCAGCCCTATGTTCGATTTTCCACTCTTCTTGCCATTTCGCGTTGATCAGCCCTCTCTCGTCTGCTTTGTCGTTTTCACTCATTTCGTACGTGATTGTAATTTCTCTCACTAGTAGGTGAATCTCTGGCACCTCCGCTATCACATAAATATGTCTAAAGTCGTCTTATATGCACAGACGACCCTCAGCAGGCCCTTCCTCTTAGCTTTCTCCAGAATTCTTCTCTATTTGGTGCTGCATATCGTGATTAACTCTGTCTTCTTTAATAAAGATATCTGTACTCGAACAAGAGAGATAACGCAAAAGAGATGTAGGTACATAACCTAATCTAATTCTATGTATTCTTTATGTTGTCTTATATCACAATACTTTATTGTTTGGTATATAATTTACAGTACATATAATTTTAGACAACTAGTTTAAAAAAATATTTTTTCTTTTTCTGTTATTTTTATTATTCTTATAGCCTCCTTTTCTGCACAGCCATTTTTGAAAACAATTGTTTTTAAAAGTAGCTTTACATCTGAGCTATGCAAATAGTAACTTTAGATACATATTTTCACTTGCAAATTTCAGTACAACATTAAATATGTTCAAATATGAATCACAAATTATTACATCCAATAAATAACATTTAAATTTACACAATAACGTCACAGAATAAATAATAATCAGAATGCCCACTCTCAGATGCCGCCTTTAAAGTATATCAGCACGCGATCGCCATATTTTAAACGGAAATAGACTCGAATTGAGAAATTTTTGACAAGCTACGACAGAACTGTAATTTAAATTTTTAGAGATTAATAATTTAGTACATTTGAAATAATTTAATATATTATTTAACTGAAAGTACGAATAAAATAGTGCATATTATGTCTATAGTTGCCGTACATAAATTAAACTGGGTTAATGTGTCTATGCAAACCAGATAAAATGTCACTGAACAGCACTGGTCCCGTTTAAAACATGGCTGATCCCGTCTGCGCGAACGAAATGCGCGTACTTATTTTTTTAAACAGAGTGGGCATTCTGATTGTTTATTATGTGGTTAAGTTTTATTCTAATTTATAAATTTCGTTATATTGGCAACATGAATTTTGACGACATATCAAAATAACATGAAACATATTCAATCGCGATAATATCGCTTGGGCACAGAATAATACACAATCAGAATGCCAACTCTCCATGGAACATTAAGTACGCGCATCTCTTTCGCGCAGAACGTTTCCGCCATATTTTAAAGGGAACCAGTGTTGTTGAGTGAAAATTTATGTGGTGTGCATAGACAAATTAACCCGGTTTAATTGACTTACGGCAATCATAGACATACTATGCAATTATTTTAACATTTTTAAATATAATAACATAAATATAATATAATTAAACATAAATATAAACAATTACATAACCTCACAAATCATATGTCGATAAAGACCCATTACACCAAATGTGATTCCCAATTCTGTGGGCATTCTGATTGTTTAATATTCTGTGGCTTGGGCATGCGCAGTTACATAACCTGTTTTACATAGCTCTTGCAAATTTTGGAAAATTCCAAAAATCAGGAAGAAAGCTAATATCCAGAGAGGCCAGTATTATTTTAAATTTTAGAGCACCTCTTGATAAGATTATATTATAGTTAAAAACTGTAAACTTTTAAAAACTTGGATATCAACCAGATTCTTCTTTTTATATAGACATTTACTCAGCTAGTCATTAGATACTATAATAGTTTGAAACCAAGTTTTGTAACAGAATTTTTAAATACAAGAGACTTATAATATGCATTAAAAATTAAAATAAAGTATTTTAAGACATCGATTAAATTTCGGTTAAAATGGTCAACATAGGTGTTATAATTGTTAACTTTACAGAATGAAGTTATGACATTGACGTAATGATTGACTGATGATAATAAAACACAACGCACTCACTGTCAAAACATAACCTATCTATCAATAATTCTCACTTGAGCATGACACTTAATTCACGTTTGAAATATCACAATTTCTCTCCATGGAGAATTATTTTTTTATACAGAAATTGATGAAATGCAACAAAAATTAAACAAAAGTAATTAGCGGTATAACTCTGTTGACAAATGACAATTCATTCTTTGAACTTAGGCATATTTCGTTTTAATAAAAATGGTAATGTTTAAATAACGCAATCAAGCAAGATAAATGCAACCCAGCAGGAAGCAAATTATATCAAATTTTCTTTTAGTTTTTAAATACATTATAAACATTAAATTTATAGTTTCAAGCTTGAAAGTCAGTAAAGAGTATATTTTGCATTCTACTATAAAATCATTTTTATTTGTTTTAATAATTCTTAGGCAAATCATTGAACAGTACCAACCTTTAGGTTGTCTAACATGATAAAAGACGCTGCTTTGACAAATGACAATTCTAACATATATTCGTCAATTCATACTGCAATGTTGCTTGTTTTTAGTGTCTATTTACCGCTAAAACTGATGTACGTATTTTTCGGAATAAAATTATATACGAAACCTTAAATTATAAACAGACGCTCAAAGTAAAATTAAAACACAACAGTTATCAGTTCACTAAAATTATGAATTTCGGTATTGTTGGAAAGTATACCCGTTTTGACAAATGACAGAAAAGTAAAGTGAAAAGTGACACATGACAAACAATTCATATGGTGCCAACTTGTAAAATAAATTCGAAGTATTGCGCAGTTAAATTACTGAGTGACATTAGTTTACCGTTTAAACTGAATTGCAAGCCAAATAATACGTTGTTTGGCGTCTAAGATTTTGTTTATCATAAGTGCAAAGACAGTATATAATCTCAAGTTGATGTTGTGGTTTTTAGGACAAAAACTAGATTTTACCAGTGTTTGTTTTCTTTTGCCAATCTGTCATTGGTCATTTGTCAGTTTTCAGTTATGTCTGTTATGTCAACAAGATAAGTTCAAGAAACCCCAATAAAAACAGATCCAAAACAAAATAATAATAAAATGGGGAAAATGTCTGATGAAGCAAAAGACCCTCCTGTTTGTAGAACTTGCTTATGTATTATTACAGGCCGTTCTTATGGTTTACACGAAAATAGTGGCCTAGGTGATGGATTGAAATACACCCATATTCTAAGATCTGTAGTACCAGCTCTGGTAAATATAATTTAGATTCCTCATATTAAATTTTAAGCTATTTTTTTTGTCAAATATATGGTTTATAGGTTAGGTTAGACTTTGGGATTGTCCCTAAATGAAAGTTGGGTGACAGGTTCGGATTTAATAATTATTGGGAAGCAATATTATATCATAATAATTTTAATCTTTTTGTTTTGGGAATATTTAAAACCAGTAAACAGTTTAATTATTACTATTATAACCAGTAGATTTAAAAAGTGTTTTAAAAAGTCATTATTATTAGAGTTTTGTTACCAATAATGATCAAACTATGGATCTATTTTTTTAAGAATAAATACATAAATTATAAATAAAATAAATGCTTAAATAAATATAAATTATCCATAATTTTTAAAGTAAAAAATTATAAAAATGCATATTTATTAAAAATTATTTTAACACTGCAACCTGAAAACAATTAATAAAAAATAGACTAAATAAAAAAAAAATAGTAAAAAAATTAAATTTGGTTAGGTATTTAAAAAAATATTAGTGAATTAAATTTCCAATTATTTTATTCAACATAGATGATTTCTGATAAATAAAGATACAGGATGTTTAAAAACTTATTTATTTTTTAATTCATTTTTTTGTTATTTTTAAAATTACTGTATTCAAAATCCATTTTGAATTTATTTTTTTATTTAAGTTATTTTTAAGTACATAATAATATCAAAAATGTTTGGTAGATAATGAAGTCTTGCGCTAGATCCTTCAGTTATACTAGATAAAATTGAAGACATAAAATATTATACTGTAACACACTTTTTTCTACCTATCCCTAATAAGATTTTTTTTAGTATTTGGGATTATCTAATGGTCCTGAAATATGTGCTGTGTGCAAAGACAGTTTAATAACCTCCTATAAGTTCAAAAACAAATGCTTAGAGGTTGAGACTCTTATTTGTAATTACTTACAAAACCAAAAACTGGGTTATCAGGTTGTAGAACTTAGTTCTGTTATCAAGCAAATAAAAATGAACACAATGAAAAAAACTGCAGATATTATTTTATCAGATTGGAATGATGATTCCAATGAAGGGACAACTAGTTCCGGAAAGCCAGTAAGTATTTAAAATGTTGATTTTAAGAAATGTATCAGAAATTTATTTCTAAATCTATTTTCTTATATATACTACTTACCAAATCTCATGAACCTAACTCACTCTTTTGGTGATGTCAATCTACAAGATGTTAGTGAAAATATTTAATTGTCTGCAGTGTGTTTAAGAAGTGGACTAAAGGAGGGAGATATGCTGTCCACAATACTCTTCAATTTATTGCTAGAGGTGATAATGAGAGAGAGATAGAAAGAGAGAGAGAGAGAGGGAGAGAAAGAGAGAGAGAGGGGGAAATAGAGTGAGAAGAGAGAGAAGGAGAGTGAGAGAGAGGAATATGAATGAACATGTATGATTTATTACAACAGAAGCCAGGTCATGGCCTTTGCGGATGTGTAGTGTTAATTGCAAAAATCAAAGAGGAACTGCTGTGTTTTAAACTCTTTAAAAGCGAAGGCTAAACAATATGGACTGTTTATTAATGAGCAAAAAACAAAGTATATGGAAATGGGACAGACACACACAACTGAGAACTACCACAAATAACGAGAGTTATTGCTTCAAAAAGGTGACAAAGTTTGAGTTTCTAGGAGTAACCATAATAAGTAAAGGGAAGAAAGGCGATTGGAGCCCTACACAAACTACTAGAAGCAAAAAAGCATCTACAGAGAAGCAAAATTGAAACTATACACGAACAGGTATGGGAAACATGGGTTAGGAACGAAAGAAAATATGCTAAACATCTAGGAAAGGAGTGTTTTAAGAAAGATATTTGGGAGAGTAATAGACTGTGAAGACATTTGGAGGAGACAAACAAATGCATAAATTGGAGAGCTGTATAGGAAACCAGAAATTAGCCAGATCGTCAGGAGAAAGAGACTTAGATGAGAGAATGGGAGACAATAGGTGGGCAGAGGTCTCTTTGCTGAGAGGGAAAGGAAAGATGAGAAGAGGATGGCCATGAAAAAAGTGGCTAGAAGCATTTAAGGAAGATCTACAAACAATGGACTACCTAAGTCTGAATTTACAATGGGCTTAGATTTTAAACATTTCTAATTTGTGTGTATTTGTCCCATAGAAGTTGGAAATATTGCTTTTTTAAATTGTTCAAAGAATAAATAAGGACTTTTGGATATGAGCATTCATTCTGTGTGATTTGTATTATTTGTTGTTTGGGAATTTGTGAGGTTAGAATATCAAAGTGTTGATATTTACTGTGAATGTTCATATTTTAAGGTTATGTTATTGTATGATTAAACCTTTAATACTTTTTTACTGTATTTTAAGGTATTTTGTTGTTGTTTTTATCAGGGATATTTCGAAATAAATCAATAAATTATTGAATTTATGGTTGAATTTACCGAAAGTACAAGCTGATTATAGCCACAAATGTGAAACATGGAACAACAAATTTCGGTATAGCAGTGTTGTCATGTTTTAGAATGTAGATGTTGTATACTTCAAATATAAAAATGTAAAGCTTTAGAAAAGTACATTTTGTTTATGTTGTGTTATGAGTTCTGCAATTTTTGATTTATATAAAACAACAATGAGTAAGTATTTGTTTCTTTGGAGACTAATTGCAATTAATTATTAGAAATTTTTTTAACAGTTACACTTTGATAGATTAGGGGATAGATTTGGCAATCATCAAATCAGCAGTTGCCAGATTATACAAAAGATGTTTGCGATTAATCTCAAAAGAGACAAATATCAACTCGTTAGTACTTCATATATAATAAAAATTGCAGAATTCATAAAATAGTATAATCAAAATGTACTTTTTAAACACTTTATCTCTTTATATTTGAAGCATTCAACATATGCATTATAAAAACACTGCCAAACCCAAATATTTGTGACATTTGCGGCTATATTCAGCTTGTACTTTCGGTAAACTCAATCGAATTTATTGACCAAGTTGAGAAATACAGTGAAACTAGATAATTTGAATCTCAGGGACAGATAAAAAAATTTGAATTATTCAAAAATTCAAATTAAAAATATGTCCACAAAAAACAAAGATACCTACAAAAACATCTATGTAAGATAAAAATCAACAACAATTGACTATTTTTATCGCTTGCAGATGTGAATTTTGTCAACTGAAAAAATGGGACAACAAAATTCGGCCAAGAATACCAATTAAAACATTTGCAAGCTATAAAAAATGGTCAATTATTGTCCATTTTTAGCATTTGCAGGTGTTCTCATTGATATTTTTGACCAAATCTTGGCTGAAACAATCGGCCGATAAAAAATGCCCAGTGAGAACACATCATTGAAAACAATAAAACATTTTGTCTTAAAGAATTTATTGAAAATAAGAATACATATTTGTTACAATTAATGAAAAAAGACTGACTAATTTTTTCACAAAGAAATCCGAAATTTTTAGCTGCTTTTTAGAATTTAGCTTCTCGGTAATGGCAGCAGATTCTAAGATGTTTTGTGAATTAAAAATAGAGTGACTTACGTCATTTTTATTTTCAAAGTACCGTCTAATTTGCGTAATATGGTTTGTAGCTTCGGCCGCAGTCGCAACATTTATTTCTCCCGCAACTGATGACGCGTCGTCTTCATCACTCTCTTGTTTTTCATCATTGTCCTTAAGCACTTCAGAGATGATCTCTGCATCAGTTATTTCACCACATACTGCAACATCTTCATCCATGTTTGACAAAATCATAAGAGATGGCAGGATCAGAAATGACGTCCCCTCAGCAGTCAACTGAAAGCAGCTCTTCTGCTAAAATGTCGTCTGCATTCTTATCCTTTTTGTGAAACAAGCTTTTTTGAAACAGTGTTTGATCATTTCGGGTGTTACTTTGTCCCAAGCTTTCTTACACATTCGCGAAGCTTGTAGAATTCTTAATTTAATTTTAAGGGAGTCGCAATCTTCCGTCAATATGTTTTCAACCAAATAATGTCTGTAAAAATGTTTTTTACAGACATTTTGTCTGCAAAAAAAGATTTTTTATGATAACCTGAACCATAACCTGGGGAAGTGAAGTCATGTTAGCAGAAAAAAAAATAACTTACATTTTCCATCAGTGGGATAGTGTTGTGTGCCATACAGTTGTCAATAAACAAAATAACTTTTCTTTTTTCTTTTATGAACTTTTTTCAGCCATTTCAAAAAAGGATGAATCACTCATCTCTGCAATAAAATTTCAGGTCAAAGCTGTGTAAAACTCAATATCCACACAGAGTATTTGAGGTTATAAAATGCACATTACAGTTCGACCGGATTCACTTTGTATTTGAGATTTGGATGTGCAATGGTGCTGACGCTCGGTAAACCCAGAACCATCAGTCTTAGGCCAAACGGCCAAACATTTTGGTAGCGTCTTGCCAAGTAAAATACCTGCACGGAGTGTACATGCGTTTCCGGACTCGCTTAGAGTTACACTGTTGCCATTCTCTTTCGCGCATATCAAATACAAAGTGAATCTGGTCGTGCTGTACTTGACAGGACGCAAAGTTGGCTAGAAGTGGTGGATAGGTCGGTGATGCCGTCGTTAAAATAGTAATATAATGTTACCATACTATTCGTTCTGTGCAGCTCACAAGAGGTGTCACGTTTAAATCTCATATCGGCCAAATTTGTCATCACCGTAAGGTCCGCTTGGCATTATTCTAATGTCAGTACTAAAATTATTAGTTACAAGTCGATTTAGTATGAAAAATGTGGGTTTGTGTTTGCAACTATCGAAATTGTAATTAGCATGGAGGCATACACTCTATCAATTTAGCATTGATAGCCTAACAATGAAGTTTGTTTTATGATTAGAGTAAACAAAACACACAGGTGAATAATAATCGTGAAAAGAATGAAAGTTATGTGCAGTAGCTTTAAGGTCGATTTAAAACACATCAGTCACAGTTCCGGCGCCGAACCGAACAATCCGTCATAAAAATATTATTTAATAGAAATATGCCGCAGGCATTCACATTCATCAGTTGACGAACAGTTTCCCAGTAGTCAGGTTTCGACACGTCTAAGATCCGAACGAGTTTATAATCTGTTACGATTTTTTTGGTTTTGCCGGCAACCTGACGGGCAGTACAAGTGAACAAAACAAAATTAGTGACGAACAATTAACCCTCTACCGGTTAAGAGTGCCTCGAGGCAAGCATGACAAAAATCAATGCTTATTACACGCAATAATATTTATTCCCAAAACTGCTATCAGTGCCTACAGACAGTACCTTTATCGTTATCTTGGTTCGTAAGCAAGATCATTTTACCGTTTCGTTTCGTTTGCCGAAACAGTTTAGTGAGAAGTTTCGTAGTGTTAAGATCGAAAATTATTTCTTGCTACAGTCCAATTTTCAAAAAAAAAATATATATATAGTTTTTCGTATTGGATCTCGTCGTGACTTTACCGTTAAAAAGATAAGAATTCATTATTTTAATATGATATAAGTGGAAGTGAAAAATAAAATTATGAAGTTGTGTAAAAAACAGAATAAGGAAAGCGTGCCTCAGAGCACTTCTGAGGAGTTTAGATGGAGATTAGTGTCCTCTTTCTATTGTGTTCAGCTGCCTAATTGTGTCATTGTTTTACAGTTCTACTGTGGCAGAAAATGGATTTTCGAAGTCCGAAATAAAGTAAAGATCAGCGAAATGAGCGAAGAGGAACAATCGACATTTATAGAATCGGTAGAATCAGATGTGGAAACTTATTTCAGTAGCGACTATGATGTGAAAGATACAGATTTTGTGCTTGATGAAATATCCCCCGAGGATGAACAGTATATTTCACAGGTGGTTCGGCAAATAGATGAAGACGAATCTGCTTTCGTCAATCAAGCGGGCCGACTTTTCATCGAACTTGACTGCAGTCGACGAAGCACTTCCATCAGCTTCGTCAACATTATTTCCTGAACAGAATGTTTCGCACGAACGTTTCAAGCAATAGCAAAGACAATACCCAAAGGAAAATTCATGGCGATAAATCAACATTTATCCTTTCGTGATGAAAGCACTCGAGTCAAGAAAGGCGAACCCTACGGCTACGATGCGTTGTTCCGTATTCGAACAATGGTTGACATTCTAAACACTTGATTCGATTCCGTTCCGAAGACTGCTCGATTGTGCGCATCGACGAACAGATGTGGGGTATCAAGCTATTTGTTTTATGTGATACGAGTGGATTCTTCGGTTTGAGGTTTATAACGGTGCTGTCGACAATGTGATCCTACCGGGCCAGCCTGATCTTGGAGCCACATCGAACGTTGTTGTGCGATTGTCACAAACAATTCCAGACTTCGTTCATCACATCTTGTATTTCGATAATTGTTATACATCGTTTCCTTTGTTGGTATTATTGCGAGCTCGAGGATATATAGTTTGGGCACCATACGAGTTTCTCGTATTCCAAATTGCAAGCTTCCGGTCTATAAGGATATAAAAGATGAGCCACGCGGCTAATCATGGGACTTTGTAGGCTCTGCATTTGGTGTGGACATCAATACTGTCTTATGGAAAGATACCAAGTCAGTGCGATTGGCATCAACGTACGTTGGTATTGAACTATTCGCCACATCCAACTAAACATCCAGCGAAAGCAGCTCGCTACGACCGAAAGGCTAAAGTATATTTGGAAGTTGATTATCGCCAAATGATAAATATAATAGTCACATAGGCGGCGTGGATTTGATCGATGGACTTATCATATTAGAGCAAAATCACACGATGCAATCACCTGATTGTTTTACTATTTCATTGACATGGCCGTAACTAATGCATACATACTGCATAAACGGATCCACGCGGAAAACGTCAACGACTCAAGTAATGTCTCGGCAAAAGAACGGTTATTGCAATTACCACAATTTCGTGAAGCAGTTGCCGCTTCTCTGGTAGCCTACCAAGAAAAACTGCCTGTTGGTCGTCCAAAATCATCAACATCGCGACCATCAACTTCCGTAGATCCACAGCCCGGCAGCTCGAGCGTTGGTCAAAACATCCACTTCCTGAAGTGCGTTATGACGGTCAAGACCATTTCCCAATCTGGCTCGGCAAAGAAGGTGGAAAGAGATGGTACAGGAAGTCACAAACGCAGTGTGTTTGCTCAAAATGCGATCTCCATTTATGCTGTTCCAACGCCAAAAACTGTTTTTTCGATTACCACACTAAAAAATAATTCATTTCATTTATCTTTTGTCATTTACCTTCATCCATTTATTATATTATTCTTTTTTCCTTAATAAACAACATTTTTTATTGATAATTCTATCTTACTCTTGTCTTGTATATGTGCTCTTATATTCGGCCTAAACTGTCATGCGTGCCCTAAGGCCCTGTTTTACCTTTGGCTACCTGACATATCTGGAAACAAACAAGCCATCTCTGGATGATTTTTTTGCGGTTTTTACACGCTAATTATACTAGAAAAAAATTGCTATTCATTTTTTTTCACGTTGAGAGTTTTGACTGTTAAGGTCGATTCAGACACATCAGTCCCGGCGCCGAACCGGTCCTGTTTGGTCACAGAACTATTAATTATCTGACAGCTGGGAAACTGTTCGTCAACTGATGAATGCGAATACCGGCGGCATATTTCTATTAAAGAATATTTTGTATGACGGATTGTTCGGTTCGGCGCCAGGACTGTAACGAGACGTGACTGATGTGTCTGAATCGACCTTTAGAGGGTTAATAGAATGTGTGAGAAAATATAATGTTTTATATGTTTTGTCGCATGAAAAATACATGGACATTAATTTTAAAAATAATATTTAGCAGGAAATAATAATAATATTTTTGCTAATTCTTCATCCGAGAAATTTTCCATCTTTTCAACAGAGTGCGAATATACGAACGAATAGTTCTGTGACGAGACGGTACCGGAACTTTGACGGGTCTGATGTGTTTGAATCGACCTTTAAGGTCGTATTGTAATTCAAAAGAAAAGGTAAAAAGTATTTTTGAAGTGTTTATATTTTAAATAATTCCTAGCTGAGCGCTTTCGGCTTTACAAAGCCATCATCGGAGCTATGCTACAATAAAATGTTCTTATAAGTACTAATTGGTGAAGATTTTAATTTTTTAACTTACGTCAATTTTTAAATACCACTACAATGGAGAGATCTCATTTCCTTGTATGTCGAAATATTGATTTTTTAGTTGTTAAAACTTCTTAAAAAACATATAAAAAACCGACACTGGACTTCACAGACACATTAAAAAATTGAATTTTTTTTTTATTGTCATGGTACGGGTGTAAGAACCCGACCATTGATAGCTGTGAGGAGGTAGACAGAATAGAACTAATGAAATCAAATGTCGGTCCTTTTAAACGATTTTCAAAAGTGACAGTTGACAAATGTCATATATAGGAAATAGAGATTGTGTTTAAATTCTTACAAAATTAATAGTTTGGAATTACTAATAGTCATCAAAGACTTCCTAAAAATTAAGTTTTTAAATTAAATCTTATGTGTTCATCTTTAATTTTAAAAAATTAAATTTAAAAACTTAATTTTTAGGAAGTCTTTGATGACTATTAGTAATTCCAAACTATTAAATAATTTTGTAAGAATTTAAACACAATCTCTATTTCCTATATATGACATTTGTCAACTGTCACTTTTGAAAAATCGTTTAAAAGGACCGACATTTGATTTCATTAGTTCTATTCTGTCTACCTCCTCACAGCTATCAATGGTCGGGTTCTTACACCCGTACCATGACAATAAAAAAAAAATTCAATTTTTTAATGTGTCTGTGAAGTCCAGTGTCGGTTTTTTATATGTTTTTTAAGAATTTTAACAACTAAAAAATCAATATTTCGACATACAAGGAAATGAGATCTCTCCATTGTAGTGGTATTAAAAATTGACGTAAGTTAAAAAATTAAAATCTTCACCAATTAGTACTTATAAGAATATTTTATTGTAACATAGCTCCGATGATGGCTTTGTAAAGCCGAAAGCGCTCAGCTAGGAATTATTTAAAATATACACACTTCAAAAATACTTTTTACCTTTTCTTTTGACTTGTCATAAGTGCGTACAAAAAAACATATCAGTCTTTTGATCGTATTGTAATTGTAAAAATATTGTTAATTGTAATAATGATACTTATTTTCAACGCTTGGCCTAATAATTTGGCCAGTAGTGTACATAGTTAAAAAAATTGTATTGTAAATATTTTAAATATACATTATTATTAAGAATATTTTTTTCTCTATATAAAATAATAAATGAATAATATTTTCAAGTGTAAATAGCGGGTTATCTATATTAAAAATAAGCTGTCTTATTAATAGGTTTTGTAACAAAATATTTAAAAATTTGAACAGAAATTGAACATAAAATTTTGCAGGTCATGTGACCTGTACTTTACGCTACGTGAAGGTCCGACCATGTCGCGCATTTCCGTATGAAATTAAAATAGTCAAGATGCTTTTAGAATCCATTTTTCTTCGAGCATGTGTAAATTGTACGATCTTTGCAGATACGTCACTGCTTAAACTAATGCTCTAAACAATTTAAGTTAACTAATTCCTTACCCTTGACATTAATTCTTTAGTTGATTTTGATATTATTTTCGACCACATTTGCTTTAATTTTTGACATTCCTGATATATGGTGCTGGAACATACGTACATATAATATAATTAATATCATAATTTTAGTTAAACACTATGAAAAAACCTGGTAATTGGACAGACCAACCAGCAGTAGAACCAAACAAGAGTCTTGTAGTATCTAACTCAATACAACCATTGCAGGTGCAGCTACTTTCACAGGTTCAAGACAGTATTTTAGTGACAGATAATAAGGGAACTTTTTTTAATATTCAACCGATTATAAACAGTACACCACCAAAGCTGATACCAATAGGCCAACAAGGTCAATTAGTAAAGATAAAAGAAGAAAAAGATGATTTTGACCAAGAAAGTGTAACCCGGCAACAACCACAAGCACAGAAACAAATGTCAACATCAAACACAGAAGAAAATGTTTTAGGTATATGTGAAGATACAGGTTATTTGAAGGATCAAAATGGTCATTACTTTGATTTTTATGGAAATGCCTTAGAGAGAGACGAAGTTGAAGCTGAGAAGAACAGAGCCATTTCTATGGAAAAGGAATTATGTAAAATCGCAAATGTGTTCACTCTAAATGAAGAGGCCGGGAAGAATGAAAAGAAAGATTCTCAACTAAGTGTTGAGAAAACAGTAGATGATACTCTAAATGAAGAGACCGGGAAGAATGAAAAGAAAGATTCTCAACTAAGTGGTGAGAAAAAAGTAGATGATGAGAAAATTCCAAATAAAGTTAACACAGAAGTTTCACAAAATAATACTGAGAATGCCTTAAATAAAACAACTCCACCATCCACATCCGAAATAAACCAAACATCATCATCCACATCTGAAATAAACCAAACATCATCATCCAAACCGATAACATATTTAAGACCTGTGAATATAAATAATTTATTAGCCAAAGAACACCTAAGAACCTACTGTAAGGCAAATACAGAAAATAAGGTAAAGTATACTGTTTTTAACTTTTTAATTTTATGTATAAATTACGAGATTTATCTGAAAAGTATCAGACATTGTATCAAATTTCTGTATGACACGAGCTTAATCAATAACTCTCAATATAAATATAGCTATATACATCATCATCATCAACTAGCCTCTATCGTCCACTGCTGAACATAGGCCTCTTGCATGCTTTCCACTTAGTTCGATTTTGCGCCATCTGAATCCAATTTGTAGTCACTCTTTTTATGTCATCTGTCCATCTAGTTGGGGGTCGATCTCTATTTCTGTTAGTTTGTATTTGGGGTCTCCTATTCCAAAATTCTTTTTGTCTACCGGTCATCAACTGATTTTGCCCCATGACCTGCCCAGTTCTACTTTAGTGTTGTTATCCTTTCAATAACGTCTGCTACTCCTGATCTTTTGCGTATATTACTGCTGCTCTTGTGAGTTTTAGGTTTCTTGCGCCGTAGGTCATCACTGGCAAATTACATTGATTAAATACTTTTCATTTCAGACACATTGGAATCTTATACCTAAAAATATCCTTCATCTTTTCAAATGCAGCCCAAGCGAGGTTTATTCTTCTTTTCAGCTCGATTGTTTGGTTGTTTCGACTTATTCTGATCTCATGGCCTAAGTATTTATAGGAGTCAACTGGCTCAATATCTTTGTCTTCTACTGAGATGTTTTTGTTGTTGACTAAATTTGTCATAAATTGTGTTTTTGAAAAACTTATTTTAATACCAACTCTTTTTGTGGCAGTATGGAGTTCTTGGAGCATTATCTGTGCCTTATCAAAGCTGTCTGTAATAAGAACGATATCATCTGCAAATTGAAGGTTATTTACAGCTATATACATAGATTAAATAAAATTGGAAAAATGGACTAGAAAAATTAACAAACAAAAAGCCTTTTTCGTGACACTCTTTAATACATTCATTTAACAACTACCTTTGATACATTTGGAGACATTTGGTCAACATTAGGAGAAGCTACAGTCAATTTAACTTGACAAAAGCACTTACAAAAACTGAACTGCATCAAGGATGGTAATGTTCACGGGTTCCCCATTGTCCATACAAAAAATAATCCGTTTCAAAAGCTGTTTTCGATAATTGCACTTTAAACTTCTTATGATTACTTGGTCCATAGGCTGCAAGACATTCGTGCAGTTGGCTGGTAAGAAAACTATGTTGATATTGGTCAAATTAAGCTTGGGATAGTTGTCAACTAAGAAAAGAATTTTTCTTTTTTTTTTTGAAGAGAATTCCTTGTTCCACTTTCTTAATTCTTCTTAAAAACTAGCAGAAGTCATCCACGCTTTTTTGTTGGCTGTGTAGTTTACTTCTTCTAGTTCCATGACCGTTATCGATCGTTGGATATCATGTTGGCTACCATATTCGCTATCGTGACTTTATTGACAGCAGCTCTAAATAACGATGTAGTTGATTTTCCATACCATTGCCTTAGATTTTTCAGCCATGATGTTCTTCGTCTACCAGGACCACGATTACCTTGGATCTTTCCCTGAATGATCAGATGTAAAAGATCATATTTTTCAGGGTGTCTCATAATGTGACCGAAGTATTCCAGCTTGCGTTTCTTTATTATATTGACCAGTTGTGTTGTTTGGCTCCGCCGTTTAAGGACCTCCTCATTTCTAACTCTGTCGACCCAGCTTATTTTCAGTAGTCGTCTGTATACCCACATCTCAAAGGCTGTCAAGCGTTTAAGCATAGCCTCAGTTAGAGTCCACGCTTCCACTCCATACAGCAGGACAGGAAAGATGTAGCAAGATGTCATACGAACTCTAAGGTCAATGCTAAAATCGTGACTGCAAAGTACGTTTCTCATTTTTTACAAAGGCAGCTCGGGCTTGTTCTATTCGGCTTTTAATTTCTGCGGTTGGATCCCAGCTCTCATTGATATTACTGCCGAGATACACGAGTTTCTCTACTCTGTCCAGTGTGGCATCTCCGACTTTTATACCGTCATCCTGTATTAATTTTGTTTGCTAACTATCATATATTTAGTTTTCTTAACGTTGAGTTTTAATCCATACTAATAACACGTCTGTTTTATTTTGTTCATTAGATTTTGAAGGTCTTCTCCGCAATTGGCAAGGACTAAGGTATCGTCGGCATATCTAATATTATTGACGGTTACTCCATTCACAATAATACCTTCGGTTGTCTCCATTAGGGCTTCCTTAAATATTTCCTCTGAATATAAGTTAAAAAGTAAAGGCGACAATATACAGCCTTGTCTCACTCCTCTTTTTATATTTATTTCATCCAACAGTTCTTGTTCAACCTTTATTCTTGCCACTTGATGCCAGTAGAGATTTGTAATTATTTGTAGATCTTTATCGTCCAATCCAGCTGTTTCCAATATTTCTAGCATTTTGTTATGTCGGACTTTGTCAAAAGCTTTTTCAAAATCGATTGCACAAATGTACACATTTTGATTTATATCTCTGCATCTCTGTACTAGCACCTGTATACTAAACAAGGCTTCTCTTGTACCCAAGCCACTCCTAAACCCAAATTGAGTATTTTAAGTTTAAGTTTTTCAGCATATTTGATTCATTATTTGATTTTCATATCGTGGCGTCCTGGACCCGTTTCCTTGACAGTGCCTTCAATTTCACGGTAGCGAAAATAACCACCGAGCCCGTAATATCCAAATACCACTGTATATTATTATAAGGAGTGTAATGGGAAAATCGTTAATTTCCTGGTCTAAAAGTAGTCTAGTCGAAATGTTCAGCAGACTTTTGAAAATATCACTTTAATATGGCACTATGATTTAATTTTCACCTAGTATGTTTAGTATACATTATTTATATCTTTTTATTTGTAATATTGTATAGAATGTACCTGCTACACAACCAGAATTTAAATCATTATCGGAGTTACTTAAAAATAATAAACCTCTAGATGATGACACCAGTACTGCACCTATACGGATTAAAGAAGAACCAGTGAGTATTCTGTAAGTATAAGAGTCTATTATCTTCTATTTTCAGTACACAATCTTTACTGCGCGTTTTTTTTTTACCAAAAGCTCACCGATCTTATTAAATTAAGGCTATAAGAGAAAGGTTAAAATTAGCACTTATATAAAACTCAACATTTTCTAGAAATAATCAAAATGTTTCTGAAATAATCAAGGTTTAAAGGAAAAAAAGGGTCGGTATAAATGTGAATAAAAAACATTTACATCTAAAAGGGTTTTAAAATTGTTATTTTGTGTCATTTTTAAGGTAAATAGTATGTTTAGGTATACATGGGAATAAGCCGCAATCGATTTTAATGAACACAACAGTTTATAGTTGTGATTTGACGTTTCCATTGTCACATTTTCTAAAATTTTGTCCAAAAAATAAAAAAAAATGTTGTGAACCACCCTTACCCTCAGGGTATGAAAATTAGATATATTCTCAGATTTACCCAATATATATGTAAAATTTCATAAAAATCGGTCCAGCCATTTCGAAGAAGTATGTCAACTAACTCTGTGACACTAATATGTCTATTAAAATAGGGATTAGTAATAGAGGAGTGAAAATTAAGTGCTGTATGTATTTTTAATGCCCGTCACAAAAAATAAAAATAAAAAATTGTGTCCACTGTCGGTGTTACTGTCGGGCTATTGTTTTTTTTTTCTTGGCTTGTCGTTTTTACTGTGATTTGTTTTGTATTGTTGGTATTGCCGATGAGGAGGCTGGAGAGTGTGCAGTACTAAAAATTAATTTATTAAGTAGGCCTACGGGATAAGAGTTTTCCGTTAGTATGATTTTTAGTCTCTTCAAACTATGTTGTATCCAACATAGAGAATATATACAGGGTGTTTCAAAAAAAGGTAACCCCGTCTCTAGGGTAGGTAAAAAACTGAAAAATAATTGGGGTTGGCTTAGTAAAAAATTTTTGTAACGCCATCCGTTTTCAAGATACAGGGCGTTGAAGAAAAAAAAATTACGCATTTCTTACGATTTTGCCGAAACTACTGGCAACATTGTAATGAAATTTTATACGAATATGTTTTGGAAGCTGATACATCTCATGAATTTGTTTTTATATCTGATTCTCATAGAGGGCGCTAGTTACACGGATCATACTAAGTATTAGTCATTATAACTTTTTTAAGAGTATAATTATTAATCAAAATTTCAAGTAAACTTAAACATCATTCAATTTTACACGAAAAAGGTACTCTTGGTAAAACTCGATACTGTGTACCGTTTTCGGAATATTTTGATTTAAAAATTATGAAGTAATAATTGATGCTGGTAGTAATCATAAAGTTCTAATAGAAATACCTCTATTTTCTCCAAGTGTGCCATAGAAATTTGACATTTATTGATTATTATGACGATAAATCAACAATAATTGGAGTTTTGCAACCTTGTTATTTGTAAAATCAAATCAAAATGTATCCAAATGTTGAATACACTGACATGTTATTAACCTTAGGCGAATGTTCTAGTGCAGTTGTGACACGTTAAGCAGAAAAGTTACCAAGTAAAAAAACATTTAGAGCCGTTGAACGATGTTGTCGAGAAACTGGGAATGTGAGACCAAATAAAATAAATTTTGGTAGACCAAGAACAACAAGAACAATTAATAAAGAAAATAATATTTTAAATTTACTTGACCAAGATCCAACAGTTAGCGAAAGGAATATAGCAAGACAAACAAATACTTCTTCTTCAAGTACTTATCGGATACTGAAAGAACAGTAATTACATCCTTATCATTACAGACAAGTCCAAGAGCTCTTGCCAGATGATCTACCGGTTAGAGTGGATTTTTGTGAAACATTGCAACAAAGGACAGTCCACAATCCAAATTTTTTAAAAGCATTCTTTTTACGGACGAGGCCACTTTTACGCGACAAGGTATGTTTAACTCGGACTACGCAGTTTGTTCGTATATTAAGGAAAAAGTCTATGCTACAGAGGTAAATTCACGCCAAGAATTGGAAGAAAGAATTCAACGTCAATTTAATGACATCATAGATGATCCTTTACCGTTTAGAAGGTTAATGGAATCTTTAGAAAAAAGAATAGACTTGTATATTCGCGAAAACGGAGGGCATTTTGAACACTTACTGTAATTGAATTTTATTTTATGTTCTTCTTCATTAATTTAATTTTCTTCTTGTGAATTTTGTTTAATTACTAACTATTTTATACCAGCATCAATTATTACTTCATAATTTTCAAATCAAAATATTTCGAAAACTGTACACAGTATCGAGTTTTACCAAGAGTACCTTTTTCGTGTAAAATTGAATGATGTTTAAGTTTACTTGAAATTTTGATTAATAATTATACTCTTAAAAAAGTTATATTGAATAATACTTAGTACGATCCGTGTAACTAGCGCCCTCTATGAGAATAAGATATAAAAACAAATTCATGGGATGTATCAGCTTCCAAACATATTCGTATAAATTTCATTACAATGTTGCCAGTAGTTTCGGCAAAATCGTAAAAAATACGTAAATTTTTTTTTTACTTTAACGCCCTGTATCTTGAAAACGGATGGCGTTACAAACATTTTTTACTAAGCAAACCCCAATTATTTTTCAGTGTTTTACCTACCCTAGAGACGGGGTTACCTTTTTTTGAAACACCCTGTATAATAATTTCCACAAGTTGTTTTTTTTTTGTGTAAGAATCTATAAAATATATTTCATGTTTTGGATAAAAATTCTTGAATTTCAGTTTTGTTTGAATTAGGATTTGGAATTTTACTATTTAGTCTACAATGATAGGGAGCATTATTTAAAATAATAACGCTATTTCTTTTTAATTTAGGTAGTAATTGCTGCTCAAACCAGTTTTCAAATTCAAACAAATAATCTAAGCGACAATTACTTACACTCTTAGCAAAGAGTAATCAAGCATCTTCTACCCATCCTCATTCTCCTCCACAATGCAAAATACAAATTCTCTTCCCTCTAGGGGAAACAACATTGGTGACACAATTTTTACTACCATCGGTCCAACATTTTTTAAACTATATCGTGGGTATCGAACCAAGTTTCATCCAAATAGTACGATAAGTTCTTCCCTTCATTTCTAAAAGGTCTTAGACTCTCCAAATGATCGAACCTCCACTTTATTAAATGGCTGGATTCCATAATTGCCTGCCGTTTATTCACTGTTTTAAACAAAACCATTAGATTTTAAAAACCTCCAAAAAGTAGTTTTATGACACTCGGGGATTATTTCTTTGTTTCTTAATTCACTCAAAAGTATATTTAAAGTTGGTATTAAGTTATTCACTGAATACATAAGATATCTTGTTTCCCGTATAGCTGATAAATGAAAATTCAGTAATCCTCGATGGACACCAGAATCCCTTTTTTTTGCAACTTTCTTATCTTTTTGATCGCTTTTGATTTAACCATCTTCGAAAGAACTTATAAAAAATATGTAATTTTACTTTTTAAGGAATTCTGTGCTTTTTATGAATTAATTAATCAATAAATATGATTAACCTTCCTAATACCGGGTGGGATGAATTTTCGTCCACATTTTTATTAATATCTGTTAATTAAGTTTAATCAATGCAATTAACTGGTTAAATTTAAATACGTCGTACATTTTTGTATATTTGTAGAGACGATGACGATGACGAAGACACAATGAGTCTTCCAGAGGAGATCAGCCAACCGCCTATTGTGCAGAAAATAATTAACACTTTGTACAGTGAAGAAGATAGAGATAAATATGTAGATACTCCAGATTTAATAAGGATTCAAAATTGCTCCATTTCGGTAAGTCAAATTTTTCATTGGAGGGGTCTATATATATTATTGTTCTGTAGCTAAATTTTTGTGACAATTTACTGTCACGAGAAGTTACCAATTAGTACGTTTCTGTAAATAGATCTATAGGGGACGACACTTTACGTTTCTAAAACCATTGATGTTCCAGCACGTATGGCTAAAAGTTTTTGTTCTGTCAAAGGTATAAGTTTTGGTTCACCAGTGCGTTTTACCTTCTTCTTCTTTTTCTTCTTAGCCTTGTTTCGTCCATGTTTGGACATAGGCCTCTCCCAATTCCTTCCAATCGCTCTCTATCCTGAGCAACATATTTCCAATTTTGTTCCGGCTATTCTTCTAATGTCATCAACCCATCTCATTTGTGATCTTCCTCTTGGTCATTTACTTTCGTAAGGTCTCCAACCTTGTATTGTAGTATTCCAACGTTGGTCTTTCTGTCTAGCAGTGTGGCCGCGAAGCTTTATTTAAGTTTTGCAATTTTTATTGTTATGTCCTCGACTTTTGTTTTGGATCTTACCCAGTCGTTCAACTAAAACGCGACATACAAAAATGGAACGAGAACTTAATAGAGCGAGTCATTGAAAAAAAAACAGAGGCTTAAAATGTCTAAGACACGCACTGGGAGTTCAAAAAATCATCAAAATTAAAGACGCTAACAAGAAGGTAGAGAAGGACAAATATAAAATAACAAATATTGTCGAAGACTTCTACACATCCTTGTACAGCTCGCAAGGCCAGCCTAATGAAACAACAAAGGAGAACGTCAAAAGAAAAATAAAAAACGTGGGATCAGAAGTACTACCAAATGTAAAGGGATACGAAATAGAAAGAGCTTTAAAAGAACTAAAAAATAATAAAGCTCCAGGACGGTATAATTGCCGAGCTCTTGAAAACAAGCAAGACATTAACGATCCCTGTACTAACAGAGCTATTTAATAGATGTCTCCATAATACCCAGATCCCTAAAGACTGGAACGAGAGTCTAGTAATACTCTTACACAAAAAAGGGGACAAATGTGATCTACAGAATTATAGACCTATATCGTTGCTCAGTCAAGTATACAAACTATTTATGAGAATTATTAATAACCGGTTAACCTACAAAATGGATAATTACCAACCGGTTGAACAGGCTGACTTCCGCAAAGGATATAGTACATCAGACCATCTGCTGACAATGAGAACATGGATAGAGAAGGCAAATGAATACCAACTACCCGTATTTCTTGCCTTCGTCGACTATGAAAAAGCGTTTGATAGTATCGAGATGTGGGCCATAGAACAAGCTATTAATAATTGTAGAATAGACTCGAGATATAGGCAACTAATACATAATATATATGAAAATGCAACTATGATAGTACAACTAGATGAAAATACAAATCCCATCCCCATTAAGAGAGGAGTGAGACAAGGAGACGTAATATCGCCAAAGCTTTTCAACCTAGCCCTAGAAGACGTCTTCAAAACTACAAATTGGTCAACCTATGGCATTAACGTTAATGGCAACAAGTTAAACCACTTCAGATTCGCTGACGACATAGTGATTATAGCGAGCACATTCGAGGAACTGCAAATTATGTTGGGGGAACTAGCAGCCAGCTCCCAATACGTCGGCCTAAAAATGAATATGAAAAAAAAAGCAAAAATAATGACAAACACAGAAGACCCCAGACATATTAACTATAAACAGCAGTGAGATAGAACAAATCCAGGAATATATCTACCTAGGCCAAATCCTGAGACTTGACAAAGAGAACCAAAGTGCGGAAATTACTAGAAGAACAAGACTAGCATGGGCAGGATTTGGAAAACTTAGTTGGATACTTAAGAACCGCAAAATACCCCAATACTTGAGAAGCAAAGTGTTCAACCATTGCGTCCTAACTCAGTTGTTTATCAAACAGGTCCTCGTAGACACTTCGTCTCAGGACCTTTTCACTCATGTTAGAGTCATACGCCGCCATGTTACCTATCCAACGGTAACTTAACCATCACAAATTAGAAATACTAATAATGTAAAAACAACTTCAAATTCATAACATTTAAAGGGTTTTTACCCATATATTTTGGTGGCTACTAGCATTGTACAACCGTTTGCACTGATGATGGATGGTTTAATCCGAAAACGTTTTGCAATGTGTTTGTGATAGCCCGTTTGAGGCATTTTTATATACCTTTTTATAAAGGATTTTAAACAAATTTTTTTTCTTTTTTTTTGTCAAAACTTGAAAAACAGATTCGTCCGAGAAGCAGACTTGAAATCAACAAAATTTTTAGAAGTTTAGAAATTTTTAGTTTTTAATATTGATATTCAAGCAAAACAACACAAATATACCGTTTTCCAATCTTCCACTGTCCAGTTTTTGTATTTTTGTGCCCATTCGAAACGTTTCTTTATCATAGCAGGCTTTAGAGCTGGTCTCCTAGCTACCAGTTTGTTTTCGACAAGTCTCCGACGAACTGTTCTTTTTGAAACACAAAATTCCTTCATCTCTTATTCACCTTGGTAAGTATTCGCAGTGGTTTCTTTCTGTTTACTAGGCAAATATCTCTTATTTTGAAATCAGTCATAGAGAGTAGTCACACGATGTCTTCCACTGTGGCTCTTACGGTATGGATCCAAACTGACTCCAGACGCAATTTTCTGTTTTATATTCCTTACAGAACTTCTTGATACTTCTACCATTACTGCTATTTCATTTTGAGTCGTTTTGTCCAGCTTTTAGGAGTTCAAATACCTAGCCTACTCGTTTTAATGACAGATCAGTGTTTTCCCCATATACAAATGTATCAATCATTTCACTGCATATGTTTATAGTCTAAAAAATAATAAAAAAAAAGGATAAATCGCTTACCTCTGCAATTAAATTTCAAATCAAAACCGTTTAGAATTCAAATGTTCACAGTGAGTATTTGAGGTTATAAAATGCACACTAGTTTACAGGACGCAATGCTGTCTACAAATGGCGGATAGAGCGCTGTTGCCAACGTTAAAATAGTACAATAATGTATAGTACATACTATAGTAATAGTACATACTATATTAAATGAAAAAATAATAACATTTCTGTTGATAAAAAGTATTAATAAAAAAAATGCAAATTTTTAATGCTTGGCCTAATAATTTGGCCAGGTACTGTAGTATCCGTTAACACAAAAAAATGTTTAATTTATTTTTCAGGATATAAGAAAAATGCAAATGGAGTTAAACAATCAACAAGAAATAACAAATACCAGTAAATTAAAAACAGCAGCACCAGTAACTTATAAATCCCCAAATAAAGCAAAATTTAGCGGTATGCTAGTAAATGCACATGTCAGTAAGGTAGGTAAATATTTAAGTAAGACATAAATTATGTTATAAGTATCTAAGTGTCTTATATTGCAGATTTTTATTATTATCTTTTTATTTAAAATATTGATATAGTGCACACCATCTAGACATAAATATAATTCAGGTTTATGCTCCCACATCTGAGAGTACTGATGAAGAAGTTGAAGAATTTTACGAACAATTAGACAAATCATAAAAAACCAAAAGAAACAAGACATAACCATGGTAATAGGGGATTTTAACTCAAAAGTAGGAAAAGGCAAAGTCAGTGAAGTAGTTGGCAAGTACGGGTTGGGAACAAGAAATGAGCGAGGTGATCGACTAATACAGTTTTGCCAGGAGAAAAACTTAATTATCACTTATACTTGTTTTAAGTTACCATTAAGAAGATTGTACACTTGGAGGTCACCACAGGACAGGACTGGGTACATCGTTAGAAATAGATAGACTTCATAATAATTAACAAACGATTCCGCAACGCAATAATATCAGCCAAAACATATCCTGGAGCTGATATAAACTCTGATCATAATCCTCTTGTAGACCAATTACAGTCAGACTAAAAACCTTCATCCAGAAACAGAATAACAAAAGATTAGATATGGATCAACTTAGAAATCCCGAGATAAAAGTCAAGCTTACAAATAGCATTAATAATAATGTTGCTTTAACAACCAATACTGATGATATTGAAAGAGACTGGATCAAATTAAGGGACGCTATATGCAACAGTGCGAAAGAAGTAGGAGAGAAAGAAGGAGGGAAAATAAGAATAATCCCGAACAATATAAAGAACTGTCCAATATCCCATATATCCAATAAGCCTCTCATGTTGTACTTTGTCTAATGCCTTTACGAAGTCAATGAAGCAGGCAAAGACATCTGTATTAAGTATAAACTTATGATACTGTACGACGTTATCTGGACATATTTTTCAATTTTTTACTAGTTTGTCTTCTCCGTAGCAAGTTTTCGCGTTTTCCTTTTCTCTTTATGTTAATATGTTAATACAAATTACGAATGTCTAATATATTTTGTAGATTCCAAAAAATGTCCTAAAATATCCAAAATTTCTACAAAGCTACTTTTTTAACAAAGAAGAAGCAACAGTCAGCTTAGAAAATAACGGGACGTTGTATCAACTGCAAATTGACAAAGATGGCAATATCATCAATCAAAAATCTCAACCTGTAGCACTTAGTGGCAGTCAGACATCTGTCAGTCAGGCACCTCAAACTCCTGTCAATAAATCTCCAGTATCTAAACAAACAAGTAATGTGAAACGTTCACCTGTACAGCGCAGTCTAATAAAACCTGAGGTTTCATTAAAGCCCGAGCAAGGTAAGTCTGCTATGAACTATTTTCTTTATTATAAAATTCAGTGTTTCAATTTGAAGTCTCGTCTACTTTTGATCATAATTATGTGTTCATACGAGGAAAGATTGATATTAAACTAGCCTTTGATAGATGGCGCTGCTTGATACCGAATTAGTTTCGGTGTTGACATTCATGACATGACGACTGTCAAAATTTTAAGTTTTAAAAACAATTAGTTTGGTTTTTATACCGTCAAAAGCAAGCAAATTTTGTGTTTTCGGAGAAATGGAAAAAGTCGAGTATCGTTCGGAGATTAAGTTCTTCCACAAAAAGGGTAAAACGAATGTGCAAATCAAAGCCGACCTGCACGAAGTTTATGGTGAGATTGCACATTCGTTAACAACAGTAAAATTTTGGAAAGCTGAATTTGTTCGTGGTCGTACGAGTGTTTTTGATGATGAGCGTCGCGGGAGGCCAAATGAAGTCACCACGCCGGTAATGATCAACAAAGTCCATGACATGATCATGGCAGATCGTCGAATTAAGCTCCTAAACATTTCCTACGGACGCGCACACAACATCATTCACCATTATTTGGACATGAAAAAGCTATCCGCTCGATGGGTGCCGCGTTTGCTGACAATCGATCAAATGCAAAAACGTGACCACTTCGGAGACGGTTTTGGCGGTGATACGGCACGATTCGAAGGATTTTTTTTCGCCTTTGTCACTGTTGATGAAACCTGGGTGCATTATTACACACCGGAAACCAAAGAACAGTCGAAACAGTGACGCAAACGCGGCGAAGGGCCGCCTAAGAAGGCAAAGAGTGCACATTCGGCCGGCAAAGTGATGGCGACTGTTCATACAATGCAAAAGGTATTTTTTCTGATGAAGCGTCTTTTATGCTGAACGGTCACGTAAATTGCCAGACATATCGATACTGGGCAAGTGAAAATCTACATTGGATGGAATAGTATAGGACACAATATCCCGAGAAGGTGAATGTTTGGGCCGGCATTATAAACAATTAAATTGTAGTCAAATAATAAGTAGTAAAATAACAAATTGTAGCAGTAACTGCTTCTCGTTATCTAGAATTTCTTCAAGATTATCTGTTGCCACCGCTGAATCAGCTATTTCCAAATAGAAATGATTTGTGGTACCAACGTGATGGGGATATCCCACACTACTGCGATGAGGTACGAAATTATCTTAATAACCAAGGAGGCCACCAAGGTCTTCAATTTAACTACATTAGACTTTTTTGTGTGATATTTAAGGATCAGAGTGTATCCAAATCGACCGAATAATGTAGAAGAGTTGAAGAAGCGCATCAGAACGAAAATTGCACAACTAACACTCGAAAAATCATCGAAAAAGCTAGGAAAGAATTTATTGCCCATATTTTACATTGGAATGTTGCGGAAGGTCGTCAATTTGAACAGTTCTTGTAATTTAATTGTATTTAAGTAAACATTTATTGTAAGTTAATTGTATTAATAAACCAACAGTTTTGGTTAACCCTGTAGAAATACATATTCAAATGATTATATCGTTGCAAAGGCGATAAGTAAACCTTTCAAATGAGCTGTCGCATGACCTCGGTTTATATTAAAACAATCGTCGATTATAATGTATATATGTATATGTGTATATGTAATAACACATATATAGCAGTTGATGGATATTCAAAAATTAAAATTGACGTGTTTTAAGATTTTTTTTTTAAAGTCGCCTGTTTCTGAAATAATGAATATATTCCAAACATTTGCATCATACTGTAGGTATCGCTTACAAAAACACTTGTCTGATTACTATATATTCGTAGGACGCCGAGCAGTTTTTATAACACAAACATCTGTTCTAGAGATAGTCAGCGAAGGCACGAATGCCAAATCAGTACTTTAACTTTGGTAGAGATAGTGCAAACACTCTTGACCACGACGCAGTAGACGAAATTTGGTTTAGTCCCCACTTCCATGCGAAACGCACTGTACTATGCACTGTATAATTCCACTTACAATAGAACCTTTCTGCCTTTACGTGAATTTTGACTCCGCTTTCGCGCAGCTCCATGGTCAGGAGTATTTGCACTATCTTTACTAGAATCGCTTTGTACAACCAGATAAATATTATGGATTTAATACTAACACATAATTATATCAAATAGTAGCCGTTTTAGCATCATTACCAAATATACGTTCGAGTTAAGAAAATATTTTTCTCAATTACTACTTTGTGTTTCAGCCAAGAAAAAAAGGTTTCGCATAGAACCCGTAGGTTATGATTTTGATCCCGAATCTAAAGATTCACAAGTTATGAATAAACAACCAAAGGAACCGAATAAATCCAATGTGTTATTTACGCAGCATGAAATTAAAAGAGATGAGGATGAAAAATCCTGGGACCCGAATAATTCCAGTTTGGTGCCCACGTTTTATAACTATGAAGGATATTTTATACATGATCATGATTATTTACAATCGCCTTATGTCAGATCTGGAATGTTAGAGAAAACCGGTAAATTCGAGTAAGTATTTATGCTATTCAAAAAATTTTTCTATTGTGAAAATTCCGTCATTCTGAAATCCCAGTGACGTTGCAGATCACCCAATTTTGACATTGACAATTTCGCACAGCGTTGCCGTGTACCAGGTAGCAGCAGATGGTATGGGTACACCTTTATTTCAGTCTTCCCTGCCTGGTATCTTAATTGGGAACTTATTGTTAAAGCTATATCTCGTAGCTGTTGCATCGATGTGCCCCATCACAAAATCGGCTTTTAGCTCCTCAATTAGCTTTCTGTTGTCAGCACCATGCATCTGGTTTATATGTCGCTGACTATGGATTAATCTGTTCATCACTGATCTGGCTTCGCCCTGTATAAAGATTTGAAGTGATGGTAGATTCAGCAGGACTTCCAATGATGCAGTAGTTGTTTTTATGGCCCCCGTATTTATTTATCGTATGGCAATTACCACACATTTAGAACAAAATTACAAACACTAGTAATATAGGTATATGACGAACTTTAAATAGTTACAAACAAACATCAAGTGTATTAATATAATCAATTGACTCTGAAGTTGAAAACAGGAAGTCTTCAGGGTTACCATTGTAGGATCTTGAGGGACAATCTTCAATAATGTGGTCGATGGTTTGGTTCTCCCCACAGTCACATTGAGGAGACGGGTTCTTTTCCCATTTATGTAGCATGTATGCACATCTGCCATGTCTGGTTCGGATCCTATTTAGAAAGGACCATGTTTTGCGTGGAAGATCAAAACCTGGTGGCTTGTGGGTAATGCAGGGCATGTTATTTTGCCATCCGTTCCATTCTTGGGACCATGCATTCGTGATGTTGATCTCCTCATGTATCATTCTTCCGTTTTCATTGGTGGTTTTCTAGAAAGAAGACGAGGTATCTTGGTGGATCGGCAAGTTTATATTGTTCATGAACTTTTTGTATTCACGTGTAAGTGCGTCAACTCGTCGTTAATGTGGAGGTGGGATGTGACAATACTGGAAGCCATTGGGTGGGAGTTGATTTAATTGTACCAGCTATCATCCTCATAGTGCTGTGCAGCTGAGTGTCGACCTTTTTACATGTTGACGCGTAGCCAAACTGGTGCACAATATTCAGCGGTCGAGAAAATAAGGGCTAAGGCAGAAGAGCGGAGAGTGGAAGCCGATGCTCTCCAGGTGGTACCTCAGAGCTTCTGTATAATGTTATTTCTTGTACCCAACTTTTGGGAGGTTTTTGTTAAAAGCTCTTTAAATGGTAGCGTTCTGTCTAGTGTTATGCCCAGGTACTTCAGTGTTTTGTTGTTGTTGAGTTCCTTTCCAGCAAGTTTATTTTTCAGGTGAAAGCAACTAAATTCTGTTTTGGATGCATTTGGTTGAAGTCGCCACTTGCGAAAATATTTGCTCGATATATATAAGTCTGCCGTCAGAACGTCTTCAGACGTTTCTAGTGTTCTGCATCGTGTAGCGAGGGCCCAGTCATCGGCGTATCCGAACTTTCTTGATTGTGTTTCCGGCATATCTGCTAAGTATAAGCTAAATAGTAGTGGAGAGAGTACTGACCCCTGTGATAGGCCATTCTTAAGTTTCTTTGGTGGGCTGATATCATTACTTCCCATCATTACTTGAAACATTCGGTCGTTGAGCATGCTATCTATTAGGCGTGCTATTGATTTACAGGGGATTGCACGGATAATTTTGTATATAAAGCCCTCTCTCAATACTGTATCTTAAGCTGCCGAGAGATCAATAAATGCCGCTGAAGTTTTAAGTCTTCTTTGGTATAATTTATCTTCTCTTGGTTCACTCTAGGACTTGATATGTTTCGTCTTTTTTGGGAATAGTCGTAACATATCCTTGATCACATTTTAATCTGAATCACATTCAGAAAAGCAATCATTGTTTGAGTTAATAATTGTGTATTTGAATACATCAAATTTAAATAATGTTAATATGTAACGTTTCTCGTCGTTTCAGAATATTATCGTGCTACATTTGTGGATTCGTACATCCGATAGAAAAGCATCTACACCATATGGTTCGACATTCACGTTTTTGTAAAGTGTGTAAAAGGAGTTTCCGAAATGCTTTAATGTGTAATACACATATAAAAAACCACAAAGTAGACTGTACGAAGTGTGGTAAGAAGGTTCCAGTAGAAACATTAAAAAACCATTCCAAGAATAACTGCGAAAGTTTAGGGGTAAGTTTAATTCTGGAATACATTTTTCAATGTATAGTACAGTTTATTAATTTTTAAATTAGGCGTACGCGTATTTATAGGTTGTAAATGTGGCAACACTGACGAGAGTAACGAGTCCTGAACGATAGAGAAAATCAGACCTATTTCATATTGAATAGCTTGATCTATTCTGTTGACCTGTAGAAATTGTAACCAATAACATTAGTTTTATTGCGACTCTACCATAAAGTTTTACGAGCTCTCTGAAGCATAGTAACGGCTCAGTTAAATTAGAAAGACAGTATGACTATGACTGAGCTACCACTGCCAGCGATCAGGAGATGCTCTTATTCTTCCACTGTGCTGTTTGATCTCTTAGTATTATTAACATATTTTTTTTGTATTTTGTCACATTCCTTACTTAACTTACTTAAAATTTTCGTGGAATTCATCTTTTGGTGTTGGATCGGCTGTTTCATTAAGTTGGTTTGATAGCTTCATCAGGAGTACACTGTAAAACAAGTTGAATATTACAAAAAAAATGGCATACAAATACATTTAAAAACACTCACAGAAATTAAAAGATTTCACAAATAAAAACTGACATTGAAGTATGTAAAATATTGAATGTCAAGGTTAAACTGTCTTAAGCATGTTGCTTACAGCAATACGATACAAAAAATAAAATTACTTCAAATGTAAAAATAACAATAACAATAAAAGAAACGTTAGAAGAATGATATTTCTTTGATGAATTATTAAGGTTAGTTGTTATTAAAGTGAATGTTGGCTCTTTTGCATATTTATAAATTTTGTTCAATATATTACAATATATGTTACTTAACTGTCCAGTGTCCGTTTTATAATTTAAAGTGTTTTTATTTTTGTTAATGTGATACATCTCAAGAAATAATCTACTTTTGTAGTTATAAGGCTGTGCCAAAATGTGAGCTTTGTGATAGTCTAGCATACGACCGTGTTTCCATAGTGCTCAACTACTTGCAAGTAATTTTTTCCCAGCGAAATCACTTTTATGTTGTGTGATGCGTTGTTTTAGCCATTGATATGTTTGTCCAATGTAGCTGTTTTGACATCCTAGACACGGTATTTCATAAACAACATTACTTTGACTTAGAATATACATATGTGATGGTACACACAGAAATCATTGGTGTAAATTTCGTGAAGTATTTTCGGCATTCTCGCTTGTATTTTAACTTATAGCTAGTAAGAAACTTTATCTCCATTTTTGCGTTCTATTGCACGATTGCCTGAAGTTATACCATATCTATATTAAAATAAATCAGTTGTCACTCCAGCTCAAGGTATGTGTCAAATAAAAACCCTCAATTTGTCGATTGCGTATCCTCAAATTTTGTTAGTGTAGGGTTTCAGAGATAATTGAAAAATAAAATAATGATGATTATAATGCTTATTTTTAACAAATAATGTTTTATACTGTCACTTTTACTTCTTGAACGATCTGTTCTGGAAAGTTGAACAAACAACGTATGAATAGCTGACGAAGCCTTCATCTACATAAGCTAATTTTCAAAGGTTTCCGATAGGTGGCACTATCATTAAATGTAATTTATTTATAAATATGTTATACGAACTTTGATGGTACACAAGCAAATATCGATACACAGTATTTAATTTAAATCTTGCCCAAGTACTTTCGATCACAAGATCATCTTCAGGGCATCTGAAATAAGCCAAGAAACGTTTTTTTAAAAAAGGAAAATTAATTCAGTTTATAGTTTGAAAAAAGTTTTTTTATGTAATTAACGTTTATAGACTTACTTCGTCAGTTGTGGCCTATCCAGCAGTAACAGAATGTCGATAAATGTAAATTGGGACATAACAAATACACTAAACCAAGACAAACACTTTAAAATTTAAAATTGGAGAAGCTACATTTTATATAGAAGCCGGAGACAGAATGGCTCCCAGCCTGGCGGAGGCGGAAATATTGAGATGACATGTGACAAATGACAGCTGTGAAGGGCAGTTACAATAGATAAGTGATCTGCGCCTTTCAAGATTCTATGAAACTAAGTATTGACCAAAGGTCCAACTGACACCACTATAGGAAATCACTGAAGAAATATAAAATTATATCTAATATTTTTTTATGTAGATTGAATAATCCAGATCTCACATTCAAACCTGTCTATAATAATTAGGCTGTTAGTTTGAGAGCAATTGAAGTTGACATAAAGTATGAATGTAAGAAATAGACTAAACAATATATTAGACAGTGGATAGTTGACTACAATAAAATGGTCCACTAAGCGCTATCAGTACTGTAAAAAAAAATCTGAATATTCAGTTGAATTGCTAAAAATTAAAATCAAAATTAAAAGCAAATATATAAATGGGTTGTAATCCAAGTAGTTCAGTTGAATCCACAGTCAATGGAAGAACTTTCAAATTAATATGTAAATACTCAGTGCATGAAGTCTAAACAGTCGAGCTGGGCCCTCTACGAGGTGGAGCTGTAATAAAGTTTTTAAATATAGGATTAAATTTAGTACAATTTAAATTAATTTGAGTATTAAGACAGTGAGAGTTTTCATTTGTTTCCCTTGTAATCTCCAAATCTTCCAATAAATCCAACTCAAGATAGTTTTTCTTTCTACTGATGTCATGTAAGATGGATGAGCCAGAATTGATGTTAAAATTGTGGTTACTGGATACTAAGTGTTGACCAAAACTTGAAGAGTTTGGTCTTTTCAAATGTTCAGAGACTCTAGTGGATAACTTTCTGATGGTTCTACCTACATAAGAGGCATCACAATCATCACATTTTAATTTGTAAATACCACTTTTACAAATTAAAATGTGATGATTGTGATGCCTCTTATGTACCTTAAAGTGTTTGTTTGTCTTTGTTTAGTGTATTTGTTATGTCCCAATTTACAATTTATGACATTCTGTTACTGCTGGATAGGCCACAACTGACGAAGTAAGTCTATAAACGTTAATCACATAAAAAAACTTTTTTCAACTATAAACTTGGAGTTTTTATCCAAGTGAATTAATTTTCCTTTTTTAAAAAAACATTTCTTGGCTTATTTCAGATGCCCCTGAAGATGATCTTGTGATCGAAAGTACTTGGGCAAGATTTGATTAAATACTGTGTTCGATATTTGCCTTGTGTACCATCAAAGTTCATTTATTCGAACATTCAACCTTATATTGAAATATGTTAACATAAAACAAAAATCTAATTTACATGTTATTTATTTAGAAGGAAAAGGTATTTATACGCCAGGGTTTGCGAGCCCCGATGATGTCATGGACCCCTGAACATGACGTTTTACTGAAGAAAACATGGGAGGAAAACGCACAACTCTCTACGAAGAATATGGAAGAGGTGTTAGCTACAAAGTTTCGTGAAGTGTTTGGTGAGAAATTTAAGGGAAGTACACTGCGTATCAAGGCCTCTGCAATAAAAGTAAGTAATACTTTTGACGATATTTTTAAATGAGGTTAAAGCTTTTAAATTAGGTGTCAAATGATATTCTTTCCTATTAAAAAAATCAAAGTTAAGACTGTCATCTGAAGAGGAATCGTGTAAAGTTCGAAACATTGATGCAATAATATACTATATGATTGTTTTAAAAATCGACCTGTCTGGGCGTTTTGCGTACGTACTATATATAAATAAGTTAATAGAAGTGGGAGAGGGGGGGGTGGTTAACACTTATTCCAGCGCATGGTATAATATAACAGGAAAAGACAGTTAAGATTTGATTTCACGTATAGTGCGCCTGTGTATCCGCTTATACGTATTTCGCCCTAATAGGGCTCTTCAGAACGGCAACTCACAGTCGCACACGCTCTCTTGTCTCTGAGGTCTCTAAGTCTTTGTACGAGTACTAGAAACCAATTCATTAAGGATTTGTGCTTAGTTGAGGAGATATGTTCTTCTTCTTCTTCTACGGCACTACAGCCCAAAATTGAGCCTTGGGCCTCCTTTATTTTTTGCCTCCACCCTTGTCTGTCTGTGGCTGCTCTTCTCCATACACGGACTCCTAAATGTGCTTGTGCGTCGCTGCCTTACTTGTCTTCCCAGCGCTTTCTTGGCTTTCCAACTGGTCTCTTTCCCTGCATTCTGGCGTTCAGTGCTCGTTTTGGTAGCCTATCCTCTCCCATTCGTATCACATGTCCGGCCCATTGCAATCTTTGTATTCTAATGAAGTTTGACAGGGGTGTTTCCTTATACAGTTGATAGAGCTCGTTGTTATATCGAATTCTGAAGATTCCGTTTTCCCTCACAGGTCCTAGTATTCTCCTCAGTACTTTTCTTTCGAATGTGTCGAGTTTGTTTTTGGATGTTTCTTTCAGGACCCATGCTTCGCTGCCATAACATGCTATTGGCCGAATTAAGTTTTATATATTCTCATCTTTGTATTTCGGTGGACACTTTTAGACCGAAATATATGGGAGAGGGCAAAATAAGCTTTGTTTGTCTGTGTTATCCTTTTTCGTATTTCTCCATCCTCTGCTCCATCGGCATATATTTCTACTCCCAGGTATGTAAAATTTCCAACCGTTTCAATGTCATCTTCATGTATAATGTTTTGTGGGATTATATTTCTTCTCGTCTGTACCATTATTTTGTTTTTTCTGTGTTAATTTCCAGACCTAGCCTTTTCGTTTGTGTTTTTAACTCTGCGTATGCTGAGGAGATATGTTGTGTAATGCAAATTTTCGATTCTCCATGTCTCTAATAACATCTTTATCAACGTCTGTTTTGCCTTGAAATTCTTAGAAAGCACAGATAAAGCAAAAAATCTGAATTTGGTTTCGAAAATTAGTTTACGGGTATAATATTACCTTTTACCTTTTGAAATACCAAATATAGCTGCTAGTATACAGGGTGTTTCAAAAAAACGTAACCCCGTCTCTAGGGTAGATAAAAAACTGAAAAATAATTGGGGTTTGCTTAGTAAAAAATTTTTGTAACGCCATCCGTTTTCAAGATACAGGGCTTTGAAGAAAAAAAATTTTACGCATTTTTTACGACTTTGCCGAAACTACTGGCAACATTGTAATGAAATTTTATACGAATATGTTTTGGAAGCTGATACATCCCATGAATTTATTTTTATATCTGATTCTCATAGAGGGCGCTAGTTACACGGATCGGACTAAGTATTAGTCAATATAACTTTTTTAAGAGTATAATTATTAATCAAAATTTCAAGTAAACTTAAACATCATTCAATTTTACACGAAAAAGCTACTCTTGGTAAAACTCGATATTGTGTACCGTTTTCGGAATATTTTGATTTGAAAATTATGAAGTAATAATTGATGCTGGTATAAAATAGTTAGTAATTAAACAAAACTCACACAAAGAAAGTTAAATTAATGACTAAGAGCATAAAATAAAATTCAATTACAGTAAGTGTTCAAAATGCTCTCCGTTTTCTCGAGTACACAAGTCTATTCTGTTTTCTAAAGATTACATTAACCTTCTAAACGGTAGGGTATCAACTATGATGTCATTAAATTGACGTTGAATTCTTTCTTCCAATTCTTGGCGTGAATTTACCTCTGTAGCATAGACTTTTTCCTTAATATACGACCAAACTGCGTAGTCCAAAGGGTTAAAATCGCATGACCGAGGAGGCCAATGAATCGGAGCTTCTGCACCTCTACCAATCCATCGATTCGGAAAATGATTACTCAACCAATTACGACACCTTCTATCAAAGTGTGGTGGAGCTCCATCGTGCATAATAAATAAAGATCTTCGCTCGTTTAGCGTTAAATCTTCTAATATCTCGAATAAGGAATTGTTTAAAAAATCAATATACATATCACCATTTAAATTCCAGGTAAATATGATAACCTATTCAATTTGTTACCTAAAGTTGCTGCCCAAACATTAACTTTAAATGAGTGTTGGTAATGTGATACCCTTTTGACTCGTGGATTCTCGTCACACCAGTAGTGTGCATTATGGGAGTTAAACATACCTTGTCGCGTTAAGGTGGCATCGTCGTAAAAAGAATGCATTTTAAAAAATTTTGGATTGTGGGCTGTCCTTTGTTGCAATGTTTCACAAAAATCCACTCTAACCGGTAGATCATCTGTCAAGAGCTCTTGGACTTGTCTGTAATGATAAGGATGTAATTGCTGTTCTTTCAGTATCCGCCAAGTACTTGAAGAAGAAGTATTTGTTTGTCTTGCTATATTTCTTACGCTAACTGTTGGATCTTGATCAAGTAAATTTAAAATATTATTTTCTTTATTAATTTTTCTTGTTGTTCTTGGTCTACCAGAATTTATTTTATTTGGTCTTACATTCCCAGTTTCTCGACAACGTCGTTCAACGGCTCTAAATGTTTTTTACTTGGTAAGTTTCTTCTAGGAAACTTTTCTGCATAACGTGTCACAGCTGCACTAGAACATCCTAAACATTCGCCTAAGGTTAATAACATGTCAGTGTATTCAACATTTGAGTACATTTTGAGTTTATTTTACAAATAACAAGGTTTCAAAACTCTAATTATTGTTGATTTATCGTCATAACAATCAATAAATGTCAGATTTCCATGGCACACTTGGAGAAAATAGAGGTATACCTATTAGAACTTTATGATTACTACCAGCATCTAATTATTACTTCAGAATTTTCAAATCAAAATATTCCGAAAACTGTACACAGTATCGAGTTTTACCAAGAGTACTTTTTTAGCGTCCGTAACTATTGAGAATCAGATGATTAAAAACAAATTCATGGATGTATCAGCTTCCAAAACATATTCGTATAAAAATTTATTATAATGTTGCCAGTAGTTTCAGCAAAATCGTAAAAATATGCGTAAATTTTTTTCTTCGACGCTCTGTATCTTGAAAAACGGATAGCGTTACAAAATTTCTCCAATTATTTTTCAGTTTTTTACCTACCCTAGAGACGGGGTTACCTTTTTTGAAACACCCTTATATCGTATTTTACGATAAAAAAATCATAAGCATGAGTTAATATCTAAAAATAGTAATGACTATTTACTCGTCTATTTCAGAAAAACAAACGAGTTAAGGTGGAACCAAACGAAAAGCATTCGAAGATCGACAGTGATGTAAACCTGGGAGCAAGTACATCTAGCAATCGAATAGAAGATATCAAATGTAAAAAGGAAAAACCAGAAGAAAAATCTCTACCCAATCCATATGTACTGTTGCCAGATGTTCTTATTACGCATCCAGAAGCAGCTCCTACTGTTTCGCCCTGTAAGAGTGACGAAAACAAAAAAATACCTGATAAAAAATTACCTGATAAAGAATTACCTGATAAAAAATTACCTGATAAAAAATTAGACAAAGTCGGCGGTAGTGAAAGCTCAGATTCACCTGATCACGAGTCCGATCCAGATTATTCTGAATCTGTACCACAAAAACGAAGAAGATTTGAATTACCGCGAAGGTCTGTTAGGTCCAAACAAAATTCCAATCGTTCGGACCAAGTGCAAATTCAAAGGCGGTGTACACGAAATAGAAAACCCTTGGTAAGTTATAATATTTTATATTGATTTGTGTTCTAGAAATAAACGTGTCATTCAAAAAATAATAACTTACTACTTTATATATTTCTATATGGTTAAATGATACTGCTTTTTAAATGTTTTATTAGATGTATATCCATCTTAAGATCTTACCATCTTTAATCAGAATTTAAAAATATGTCAATGTTTAATAGCTAAAAATTAAGAGGCAACCAAAAAAATACTTAAAAACATTAGAATATATTCCAGAAACGAACATATTAGTTTTTAAAATATAAAATAATAAGATAATTATACTTACAAGTTATGTATTGTGTGAATCTTTAGACTCAATTTATATTCACATTTTCTCAGTGTAGAATCGTCATTTGGTTAAGTTTCTCCGCAACACTCAGGCCCATCTCGCTTTTAAAACAATTTTCACACAACACAGCAGCACAGTTTAATACTAAAAGTATAACTGAACAGATATAACGGCAACGCTCAAGGTCACTTCATCTATAAAGGGAAATACCAATAGTCAGGTGTATGCAAGTGCCCGAACATTCGTATACTTAACATTGAACATAAATTTTAGTGCGTTTACTACGTTTTCAGATAACTTCGTAATTCGTGAAATACTTATATTGTTTGTTGGATTTTCGTATTGAAAACTAAGGTGAAATAATTTTTTATTTCTTATTAAATTCTAAAAATTAAACTAAAAATTCTGACTCTTCTAGTTCCTTTTCGATCTGACCAACAAAAAATTAGAGTTTTTTGTAGCAAATTTAGTGAAAATCTTCAGTCTCAACTGAATCTTCAGTCTCAACTTCCATAAGACTATCATCTGAATAGTGTGTGTATATGGGAGAATATGAGATTTGGATTTTTTCTTTTCTCTATTGCTTGCCTTTCTTTCCTTTCCCCTTTCTCTTTTTCCTCCTTTTCTATTATTTCATTTTCTAATCTATTTTTTTCTGGTGTAGCGGTCAGAATGGTTGAAATTTTTTTTTCTTTCTTCCTTCCTTATTCTCACGGCCTTTGAGTATGGATGAATTTGTTTCGGAGTAAGTTTTACATCTGAAATAATTACAATTTTGGAACTTTGTTTTTCGGTAGTTAAAACATGTTGACAATTATTGTTGACTTTGGAATTGCATTTCGGAATTAGAGAGTGTACTGCAATTTAGACAATCATCAGCTGTGGTATCTCGCTAACTTCCGTTACTTCAGCCCCTACGAAATCTTCTGAGGAAAAAATATTTTTGTGTTTAAAAACCCAGAAATAATGTTTTTCCTATTAAATGTTTCTTCAAAGACTGGAGCTGTTAGATGTGAAATGCCATAAAGTTTTATAGCTTTTCCCAGATCTGTAGACATCCATAGCATAGTGGAATAGCATTTCCATTGGCAAAGATTATTTCAACAAACGTCACTTGCTCACCTTCTCTGCTCCAACTGCTTGTCCCACTTGCTTACTTGCGACGACTTTTGGCATTTGCAGAAGTGTTCACTCCGCTTTCATCTACGTTCACGATTCTATCACTAGTAAATTTGTACGTTTTGTAAACAGTCTCTAGGTTATCAAAAAACATGTCTACGTTAACTTTATTAAAACTGATGTTTCTGGCTAGACTTGGAGACTGAGGTTTTCGCAAAGATAAATTATTGTGACGCTTTATGAAACCTTTCATCCACTCAATTCCAGCAAAATGATTTTCCGACCATGACTTTGGCACATTTTTTTCAAGCTTCAGAGCATACTCATATGCGAATGTTCGAATTTGAAAGTAGGTTAGTCCATACTGTAACTTCAAAGATCAAAGAATATAATCTACTAGACTGTCCTCTTCTCCATTTAAAAAAATCTGCTGTGTTGCTATATTTTGATCTCTCTGCTACGTTTCTGATTGATCCGTTACCATTTTTTATATCGCGAATGGTCTGAACTACTACGTTTTCAGGAATATGGCTTCAATTTCTTTTTAAGGTAAAAAAGATATTTTAGGTTATTTTGTTTTAAAAGAACCTATGGAGTACAAGTGGACACTGTCCGCTTGTTCACCTGTATGGTGTCCACATCTGCCCCGTATGCATAGTTTTTCAAAAGTACCGGATATCTGTTTTTAGGTTTATGACTAGAACAAAACTCTAGAAACTTACCTGATATCAAATATGACAATATTCAAAATACGATGCACTTTACAAGGAAACACAGAATGTCACTAAATAATATTACAATCTCTAAAAAACTGTTTATTTACTTTTACGCGGCAAAAGGAACACAACCTCGTGACACAAACAAATGGCAACTGACATTGAATTTATTTCTTGGCATAGAACTATATCATCAGTGCCACCTAGGAGAGTGAGTTAGAACCACTCGAAAAGAATCTAGAGAAAAATCAACTATGCGCCTGTGCCTCTGTCCATTACCTGCCCCTACCATTTAAAAAAATACGTTTAATGTAGTTTTATTCTATTTTTATTTGCAGTGAGATTAGATATTTTAATGTTTCATATTTTTGCACGAACTCCAAGAGAAGTAAGACTGTTCTGAACCGATTCGTGTTTATGTCCTCCCAATATCTATTTTGTCATGTTGAGCTTAATCAATAAGCAATGCTAAATTATAGTCTGAATTAGCAATCCTCGTGCCAAAAAACGTAAAATTGCCAATTTTGAAATAGAAATTGTGAAAATATATAAAATTATTGTAAAAATTAAAATACATATTTAAACTTTAAGCATTCAGTATCTCGGAAACTAGCAATATTTGTATAAGGCATAGAAGGCACAATCATCATATTTTGAGGTCTAGAATCTACAACTCAGGGATTTGATATTCATAATAAATCACCTCTGTATATTGATACACTTAAGTTGTTAATTTATCCTGCTCTAGTTCTCTTCCAGTGTATATTATTCCATTCCAGCCTCCCCTCTTATAACGAAGTGCAAAGGATATCCAGTAGGGCCACCACATCTGCTGTTGGTGTACCCCTTAGAGCCCCTGTTTGATATAAAGAAATGCATTTTGATGTTGTGAATTATCGTTTTTAAGACACGTATTTCTAGGACACTACGATATGTTATTGTTATTGTCATTTATCTAATTATTTTTTTTTTCTTTTCAGCTGAAAAGTTCTAATGACTAATTCTCCAAGATATCTACTGTATTTTTTGTACATATTATTAAGTAGCTTTACAAATGTTGATATAGTTGTATTATTAATAATTAATAATTACAAAGTGACTTTTAAAGTAATCGATATATTTTTTGTTATTTATATTTAATGTGTTCTTTTTGTTAGAATATTTAATACAATTTTTATATTAAATATAACCTCAGATCTTACACTTTCAAAGATACGGTGCTACTCTTACTACAAGGTGTTATCTAGGAAGCATTAAAATTCATTATTGCCAATGTGTTTTAACTTGGCAGCTATCACCATTAAATTTAATAATGGCTAGTTATATTTAGTTATATTAATCAATATTAAACACACTATCAGTGTTTTGGAATGCTGTTTGTTTTCCATGTTAGAAAGTGTACTGTTCGTTTATAGAATCTTCTATACCTATCCCATAGTTCCCTAGTTGAACTTATGCTTTACATCCATATTTTTAAAGCTGCAAATTTTTATGGACTGATGATGTGTATGGATTCATATTCAAAACTACTAAAACTTGAGACGTCGGCATTGAAAAGCCATGAGACTGCCTGTGACTTTTTACAATAGACAGACAAATTTTACATAGAAACTAAATATGACAAACGTGTGTGCTAAGCTTGTGCCTAGACTCCTAACGGTGTAACAGAAGATGCATCATAAAGACATTTGTTCATGGAGCGCCCGTCCTATTTGATTTAGACGTCGCTAAAAATTCAATACTGTTTGAATAGGACCCGCCACGAGTCATTAGAGAACAAAACTAAAATCGGCGCAGCTATTCAATAGCCTCTGACGGAAGATGACCTGCAGTACAGCTCCGCACAGTGAAAGTTCGCATGGAACATTGTAAAAATTGCTAAATAAAGGCATACCAACAGTCTTGAAACGTATTATCAGATTGTATCTTTGGTTTTTCTTGATATACGAAAAAGGGTGGAAAAATAATCTTTGTTGAAAAAAGGGTGGAAAAATAATTATTTATTCAATAATATCTATTTTTTCGCTTTAAAGTAATCCTGCTCGGATATAGTATTTTTGTGCAAGCGATTTTTCCAATCCTCGGAGCACTTCAGATATGCATTTTTTTATATGACCTTGAATTCTTCTGGCGTGAGGTTTTTATCTAACCAATCGTGGCAAACCTTTGTCCAATAATGGTTTTTCAGTTTTGGGAACAAAAATAGCAGAGGGTTAAGTTCGATGAATAAGGTGGCTTAGGCATAATGTCGGTGCTGATTTTGGATAAAAACCACAAATAAGTTATCAGCAAACTTCAAGGTAATATTGCTTATTGACCATACGACTTTCTTGTTGTTCTGCAGAACTCATGATCCACATAATTTTTATCAAATAAATCAGCTACCAAAACTTCTCTTTTGACCAAACTTGCCTTTCTCGGTTTTAACTCTTTTTGCAGTTTACATTGGGATTGAGTTTCGACTTATAAACATAATCATAAATTTTTCTTCATTCACCAACTCCTGAGCGATGCTTATGTGAAGTTTCTTTTAGTCAAGATTTACCAATTCTTGAACTTCTACTGAACTATCTCTGAAACTTCCGGCAGAAATAGCGAATAGACATAAACTTTCAAGTCAATAATAACCAAAAACACATTCTTCTGACTTGTTCATGGTTCATTAACTTCAGTTATTTACTTAATTGTTCTTTATAAGCTTTTGAGATGCTCATCTCTTGAGAATATGCCATGAAAAACTTATCGACACATTACCATGTCTTAGCAACATTCTTAAGAATTGATTCATTGTTTTTTTTTTCACTTGTTAAAGAACCACCAGAGTACCTAAGATTACTAATTGATTCCGTGTTTCTTAATCTTTGACATAATCTTTAACCATTATCCTCATCATTAGTGACTAACAGCCCATGATGAGACATGGTTTTCCCTTAGTGTTTCTAGGCTCTATTTTTTTTTAGAAGCAACGGACAGTCAGCCTTTATCTCACTGTCCGTTGTTGACAGGTAAAATTACAATAATGGCTTAGAAAAACTGAAGACAAATTTTGTCTGAGTCGTTGTAAAGAGTGTCCGTTGTTCAGAGGTGTCTTCTATTGACTCACATATGAAGTGTTCGGTGACCTAAAAACTGTCCATTCAGCAGAGATTTCCGTTGTAGAGAGGTGTTCGTTAACAGAAGTTTTACTGTACATAGATATTAAGACCCATTTGTGACAATGTTATGTGGAGATATACGAATATTACAAGGAATAGTAAATTATGCAAGATTGCCAGCAGATTGGGCTGGACAGGTCACCTTATAGGAATGTATACAGAAAACGTATGCAACGCCTATGGTGGGACGTCGGCCAGCAAAAAGACCAAGGAAGAGGTGGATAGACGAAGTGCGAGTCTGTGCTAAAGATATATTGAGGGTGGATAACTTGAGCAGAGCAGCTAAGGAAAGGGATGCTTGTAGGCAGATGCTAGGGGGCAGGGTCCGACTTGGGCTATAGGGCCATAGGAGATGAGATAAGTGAATAATTATTAAAATGAAACGCATTTTAAGTAAATAATTTTAGAAAATAATTAAAATTTTTGGAATATGAACAAAAAATACCTTGAAATTGTAACTAGGCACAGAATAATAAATAATCAGAATGCCGCTTTTGAAGTTTGTCAGCACGCGAACGCTATATTTTAGACAGTAAACATAGACTCGAATTGAGAAATTTGTGATAAGCTATGACAGAACTGTAATTAAAATTTTTAGAGATTAATAATTTAGTACATTTGAAATAATTTAATGTATTCTTCAACTAAAAGTACGAATAAAATAGTGCATAAAATGTTACTGAACAGCACTGGTTCCGACTAAAACAACTTCCGTCTGCTGAACGAGATGCGTGTATTTTTTTAAGCAGAGTGGGCATTCTGATTGTTTATTATTCTGTGCTCTAGTGTCATAGAAACATATTTCTTTTCCAAATGCGATGTTTTAAGGCGACTCACAAATGCTGGATCGGATTTTAATTCGGGCTGTATGGTGAATAAAATCTTTCAAAATCAACCTCATTAATGCAATCATTCACTCTTCTAGCGACATGGGGACGTGTATTAGCACGAATATGTCATATCCAATATGGCCGGTAAAAATCTTCTAAAATGTTTTCAAGGTACATGTCAGCTGTCATTCGCCCAATGTCCTCCACAAGTTTGGTATGTGCTTTCCAAGCAATACCGTCCAATAGCTCTATGCCGCCACCACCAACAATAACGCTCTGTATGAGGTTATAACTGGCATACCGTTCGCCAACACACGAAGTTTCGTCCATGTTGCTTCCATAACTGAATTCTCGTCTCATCTGTGAACAAAAACATTGTTCACAGCAGTATTCACTGCTCGATAATCAAATTAAAATATTTTGTACTTTTGTCCATCAGTGTATAATCTATAAGATATTAACCTTTAACGAACTAAAATGGCTAATGATATAGTTGGTTTACTCATTTTGGGAATGTTTTGACAGAGTTAATGTGGCAAACACATAACACAAACATTAATTATGAAGAAGAAACTACAAAATTTCAAAAATAGACATTTAAACCTTTGTTTAAATTAGAGCAGTTTCATTTTGCTACTAAACTGTATATAATAACTTTTTATTTTCAGTTAAAATTAGGTAATGGATACACTTTGAAGTTACACTTTTTCATGGAATACATTATGTTAACACTGAAATTTTTAGTGTACCTACTGTCATAATTTCAACTTAATTTTGTTCGACTTAATAAATGATTGTTTACCTAGGAATAGTTTATAGATTATTAATATAGTGATGGTTTTGTGATCATAGTAAGGCCCAGTGTCGTAACTGCACCGTGCACAATAATAATTTATATTTAGGTTTTATTCCACAAAATATTTGGCAGAAAAATTATAAAAGTAATACAATACGCAGTGTTCAGAGATTTCCTACCCAAAACAAAACTACAAAATTCAGATACCCATCAAAAATTGATTAGTTTATATGATAATTTAAATTACCCTCATCTTCCAGTACTCGTTTAACCAGTGGCAATAATGGAACTCAACTTTGTATAATAAAGTGCGCGTAGTACATTTAATTAATAACTTCCTTGCAATATGAATAGTGGCTCCCCGTTGCTGACTGAAAACAAGTACTTTTGTTATAAATCTGGGATATATTCCACAATAGGACCAAAAAAGCTTCAGTCAGGTTCCTCTACAGTTCAGAACTTACTGTGATTGCATGATCATTTCTATTTTCCAATAACTGTTATGAATCTGGTCAAGATGACGCAGAATACAGCCGCTTTTGAACTAATGTAACTATTTTTGATATAATTCGTTCGTTCGTTGGTCACAAAAAATATCATAATTAAAGTATTTTTTGACTTAAGGGGTTTATTTCCGTTCCAGTTTTATCGTTTCTATTTCATTTATACTGCGCCAAGTAGAAATTTTTTCTCTTGGTCACCTTTTGTATTCCCAAAGTGACCAGTACTTTGGTGCAGACTGCCGCATTGTGGTAGTGAGGTGAAAACGCTTAAAAATTATTAAATTTTCAGGAGATTGAAGTATAGCCTAGAAATTTGGCAAACTTTGTGTTACCAATTAGTTGGATAGTATATATTATTAAACGAATTCGGGGGTAATGCAATGTTCAGTATACAAGACAATCGTCAGGAAATAGAACAAATATATTGCAAAAAAGTTGTGCGAGGTATATAATAATATAATAATAAGGTCTTTATTTTTCCTTCAAATTCATACAATACACAAACTATATAAAATTGTACATGCATATAATACAATAAGAAAGAAAAAATGCCGAAGATCAGGTGGTGCTGATTTCAAGCAATCAGTACCTCTGCTTTTCATCTTAAGCAAGAGAAAACAAAATATAATATAATTTTTTTACATGTTCTGTAACAATCAAATAAAAACCATATCTAATAGAAACATTTAGCAAGAGATTTCTTAAAAGATATAATCGATTTTAATTTTAATTTTTCTTTTCTCCATTTTCTCTATTTTATTCTCTATTTTATTATATAAATTTATATATTAATTTGTGTGAGGTTTTATTTAATACAAATGAAATTTTTTAGGTATTTATAAATGTGAGAATTTATATAAATAAAAATCATTTTATTTCTATATAAAACAAAAGCTATATCAA